ACAGTACAAACCACCAGCCAACCTCTGGGCAGAAGAGGAGACCTACTCCCGTAGATATACAGATGCAAAAACTCAGAGAGGAAATTCTACTTTGCTTTACAGGGTCTGTGAGAGTCAGAATTCACTGTATCACATTTTTTTTCTTTTTAAAAATAATTTTATTGGGGGCTCATACAGCTCTTATCACCGCCCATCCATCCATCCATCCACCCATCCATCCATCCACCCACCCATCCATCCATCCATCCATCCATCCATCCATCCATCCATCCACCCACCCACCCATCCACCCACCCAATGCATTTTAAGCATCGGATTTTATGCTAGGTGCTAGATATAGTGTTAATATAGTGACACCTTTGGTCTCACAGCGATGTGATGGGGAAGCACTGGGGATTATGGGAACAGGGGTTAAAACTAGACCTGGTAGTCAGATAGGGCTTCCTGAAGGCCGAGAAAAACTTAGTCAGGGTAGGGGAAGAATACTGGACTAGAAAGAAGAGACAGCCACAGAGAATGCACGTAGTCAATAGAAGAGCTAAGTTCAGGGAGAAGGTAGCGTGAGGGCCCTCCATCATCAGTCCATGCCTTGATTTGCTTGAGGACGTCCTCTGGCCACCAAGTTCACTCTGCCTGCCCCTTTGATGGACCTGCCTGCAGGAGCCCTGCATCAACCACTGATGGGAGTTGGTATACCAACACTGCAGCTCCCTCTGCTCGCATGGGGTAACCCTGAAGTGGGTGTTCTTTGCTGACTCCCTGAATTTGGTAGTAGAACCTAAAACCTAAAAGCACTTGGCTTGTGGCAGGCTGTGGTCTACCAGGCCTAACTCCATTTTGAATCTTGACATAAGTCCAGACATCCTTTGAGCTATTTATGTTACTTCCTCAATCCTTGCTGGCCTTTCAACCAACAATGTGGCTGTGCGTAGAGGAGTCGGGCGAGCCTGGAAGAAGAACGTGGTCGAAATGGCAGTAGTGATACCAGCAGGGTGGGAGGAAAGTGGGAGGAAAGTGGGGGGAGAAAGCGGGAGGAAAGTGGGGGGAGAAAGCGGGAACCCATCACAATAATCGAAGTATAACCCCACCCCAAGGGGGACGAACAGCAGAAATGTGGGTAAAGGGAGACAGCAGTCGGTGTAAGATATAATAATAAGGGTTCATGAGGCAGGAAGGGAGGGAGGGGGGTGGTGAGGAGCTGATACCAAGGGCTTAAGTAGAAAGAAAATCTTTTGAAAATGATGATGGCAACATATATACAAATGTGCTTGACACAATGGATGTATGGATTGTTGTAAGTTGTCAGAGCCCCAGTAAAATGAAAAAAAAAAAAGATGAATTTGCATGCAGAAATTTGCTTAGGCATGTCTGTCTGACACAAAGACTTTACCTAGCCGTGCCCTTCATGATTTTCTGGAAACAGCCAGTCCTCTCATCTGTTTAGCTGACAGGTATGTGCACATTCCAGTCATTGCCCTTTCCCCCTGACCGTGCGTGCATGCATGCACACACATGCACACACGCATGCACACCTACACGCATGCACGCACGTACACATGCGGACGTTTCTGTAGGCCCACCTACCACAGTGATGGGTTGACCTCCCCACCAATCATGATCTTGTAATGGTTTCCATTGTCTCTGGCACATATAATGCCAGCAGATCTACCTGCCTCTGCACTGCTACATGCCTTCCCTCATTCCGAATGGTTCTTATTTCCCATTTAAAGTTTAATAAGAGTCTCTGTAGGACATTTTTCACTCGTACGTTTGTTTGTTTCTTCCCTAGTTCTCTGGTGAGATGCAGCCCCATTGGCCCCTAAGGTGACTTGCTTGCTAAAGCACCTTCCCGGAGGAGAAAGCAGCTATTCCAATAGGGAAAACGAGCCCAGCAGAGGCCTCCTGGAGTGGGCAGTGAGCTTCACAGATGGGCACAACCCGCCTCTGGCCTCCTTCCTGAGGAAGACTCCCCTCCCAGCTCCTGCCCTCCAGTCTCCCACTGGGAGTCCCCATTGGCTGGGAGCCCACACAGGGTGCACAGGGTGGAGAAGGGTGGGGACAGGACCTGGAGGACAGGTGGAAGATCCTTGGCACCGGGTGGCACGTCTTGATCAGGAGTGGTTCAGGTGGGACCACACATCCTCATGGGGGACATGACAGTGCCCTGTGGGAACTCACGTTAGGGCTGGGGGCTCCCCAGTGGCTGCCTCTCAGTAATAGCAGGTTGCTCCGTCTCCCCACCCCTAGCTTACCTTTCACTTTGGAGAGCCAATTGTACTTTTGGCCTCTCTACAGTTAGGTTGAAATACTGGTTGAAGGCTGGGGTACTGGTTACACATTGGGCTGCTAACCACAAGGTCAGCAGTTTAAGACCACTAGCCACTCCTTGGGAGAAAGATGCTGTTTTCTACTCCCGTCAACAGGATCAATTCTAGCCTGCCTTCGAGGGCTGCTCCGAGTCAGCGTTGGCTGCATGGCTGTGAGTCTGGCTTTGGACAGCCATGCCAGCAGCACACACTGTCTCGGATGCAGTATAGCCGGGACGAACGGATGGCGAGACGCCGTCCCACCTACTTTGAACGGGACAGACCGGTCCCTGGAGAAAGATGTCGTGCATGGGAAAGTAGAGGGACACCAGGAAAGAGGAAGGCCCTTGACAGTTGGGTGGACCCCGTGGCTGCCATTCTGGGCTCGCACATGCTGGTTGTGATGAGGACGCGGGCATGGGCAGTGCCCGTCTGTTGTTGTGCGTCGGAGCTGACTGACTTCATGGCACTGAGCACAACACAGCAAAGCTCTGCTCGGGTAGAGTGCCCGGACACAGACCTGGTTCTCTAATGATAGCGTCTGTAAACCTCCCTGCCTTTTGCTGGGCCTGTTTCCTGATAGGTAAGGCTGCAGGGCCAGCAGCTTAGTTAGTGTGATTCTTCTAGGCAAAGTCTCTAACTTCCAGCAAACAACCTTTTCTTGCGTGGGTCTGGTAGGAAGGGAGGAGGAAGACACTGAGAGGATTCACCTGTGAGTTAACTGTGACCAAGGCTGCCTGCAAGGCCATCCTGCTTTGTCTACGATGAGCCTTCTGAGGAGCAGGAGGAGGGATCCCATCACCAGCAAGAGCCAGGGGTAGAATGTGTCCATTGGCCCGGGGAGCTCTGTACAGTGAACTTTCCGGATGCAGAAGATAGCTGTGAGTAGTGGCAGAACCAAGTGCCAAAGCATGGGGGGCAGAGGGGTGGCCTTCCCAACCCAGGGAGCAAGTAAAGTAAAAGCTTTTGCTGACCCTGGGTGCTTGAGCTGAATGCCCTGGGGTGGAGGCTTCCTGCAGGGTGGCATGCCCCTTGGGCATTGATTAGCTGACTTGGAAGCACTTTGTCCTGCTAAACAACTATCCTGAGCATTTCTCACTGGCATTACAGCTCGTGAACATCCTTCATACACCCTGTTATCATGACGTCCATCTGCGGGTTCTGCGTAGTCATTGCCTGCCATGGCTATCAGAGCCTACAGACCAAGTAGAGAGTATTCAGTAAGACAACACAAAGGTCAGGAGAGCTAATCCAAGATCTCTTAGGGATCCTTCAGGAGCAGACGTGAGCCTTCTAGAAAGGTTCTGGTAGGTTCAAACTCGTCCTGAGAGAGGAGTTAAACCAAGCTTGTCCTTTTGGGGAAACTGGGATTCAGAGAACAGCAGGGACTTGTTGGAAATCAATGAATTCGGCTCCCCATCTCTAACAGCACGAAGCCCTCCTGGCCCTGAGACTGCTTTCCCGAGGGGCCTGGCCCACCCTGGTGCTTGTTTTCAGTGAACACAGCCAATGTGGAGCTCTGAGCGCAGCCCCCAAAGGTGTGCAAGGCGTGGACCAAGTGAGTTCACAAGGCTCTGGGCCAGTTGCTGCCCAACAGACGCTGCGGTCAGTGTAGAGCCTTGCTCCACAGCAGTTCCGATGGCGGCTTTTACAAAATTGTTTACCTTAACATTGTTTTAATTCAAAACTTTTTAATCAATTAAAAATGGACATTTAATACATACATCCTATCACTCTATAGTTAGTTCAAACCCATCAAACAGTATTGTACAGTTGCTACCAGGATCAGGTCAATGGTGTTTGGGGGGGGTTCTTTCTTCCAAGGTGTCTCTGGGTGGTCTGGGACCTCTTCCTTGAGCAGCTAAGCACATTAACAAAGGGCACCAGCCAGCATCCCTCCTGGATACTGGGACGTTTGCTCCAGCTAATCACACTACTTAGCTCTTGGTCCAACAAAGCCCTCAAAGAGCTCTGGAGCTTATGTAGGATCTGCAGGAAGTTGCCTGGACCCTGGGAGGGGAGCCAGTTCCTTGGAGCCTCTCTGGCGGCGGCCTGACACCAGCCAAGTCCCACCATGTCTGGGAAGCTGCCTGAATCTGGCCACCTCTCCCAGTGGACCAGTGAATGAGAAACAAAAGCCATTTCTTTTTTTATAAGAACCTGAGCCTCTGGGGTTTGCCACATGCCAAGGGCGGGGGTGGGGGTGGGGTGGGGGGGTTGGTACCAGAGACCACCTCCCTCCCTCCCCGGAGCCTAAGACAGGGACCGGCTTTGCAACGTGCAAGAGGATTCTGTTATCATTAAAGTGCTATAAGAGCTGTCAGAGCCCCCAATAAAATGATTTATTAACAAGAAAAGTTTTCAGCGGATGGCTTTGACCCTCTGTGGCCCACACACATTCATGTTTGCCCACAGAGGGCTTATTTGTGTTTACAAAACAAGATTGCCAACAGTTCAAAAAAGCCAGGAGACTGCTCGTGAGAATCTGTGATTGGGGGTTCATTCCGAAAAAGGAGAAAACCTGGTAGCACTGAAAGTCTTGCCTGCTGGAGCAGTGTGGCACCTGCGCCTCTAGGTAAGAGCCCCCTCCCTCTTCAGCCTGCTACGCTCCAGCCAGCTCAACTGAACGAAAAACACACAGCCCGCAAGCCTCGGTTTTCTATCTAATCAGGACATAAGTGCCGGCCCTGGTTCCCCCTGCGCAACCCCTTGCAACCTGGGCACACTGGTCCGCGGCAGGCATCTGTCCTCACCACACTGCCCCACTTCGGTTTCCCGGGGGTTCTGTGAGCAGGCCTTGGGGAGCATAATTCATGCAGGTGTTCCCAGCCAGGTGGGGCAAGCACCGGGCTTCATAGGTGAAGGTCAGGTGGCCGTGGGACAGGGCGCACTTTTTCTCATGCGTGCCCGAGTGTGGGGTCTCGTAGCAGGTGCCCAGCAGGTCATCATTCCAGCCGGAGTCCTCATCCCAGACCTGTATCCTCAGGGACCCCCCTGTGGCGAGTTGCACGTTCCCAAAGCTTATCTTGGTCGCCCATCTGGGGTAATTGTTGTTCCACACGGTGTAGGTCCGCTGCTCCTGGCCAGCAAAGGAGATCTTCAGGTAGGCGTCCGTTTGGCTGATGTGGTCACCCCACAGGTTCTCGGCTCGGAAATGCCTCACCTCCAGGTGGGCCATGCCCCTCTCCCGAGGGCAGCAGTCCTTGTTGGTGAACGCTGAACTTTGGCATACACACTGGCACGGGTCACTGGCATCCTTCCACTGCCCCGCCGGGCAGGGCCGGCTGCAGTTCCTCCAGCGTGCCCTATCCCTCACGTACTTGCTCACGGCCTCCCTCAGAGCCTTCCGTCGTGGGTCCCGGGCCCCCAGGAGCATATGCAGAGGCTCTAGGGTGTAGTCCACCAGCCCGGGTGTGTCCTGCAGTGAGGTCACCCAGGAGGAGAACTGCTCAGGCCCAGCCTGGCTCCCAAACAGCATGTCATGGATGGAGGCGTGGTGGCCCCCAACCACTTCGGAAATGCGCTCCTTGTAGGTCTCGTGGAAGGAAGCCTTCACCTTGTGCTGCCTCTTCTTCTCCTCGCAGTCCTTGGCTTCTGCCGAGGAGCTGGCCTTGCCGCCGATGCTGAGCATGGCCTCGACCGTCAGGCAGTTGCTCACGTCGTTGGCCGTGAGTCCGTCCAGAGTGAGCTTGCAGGTGCGCAGCGCCGTGATGTCTGAGATCCGGCCCCCCAGCTCCACAGACTGGATGAAGTGGGTGCCGTAGTGGGAGATGAGCCTGAGGTAGGCTGACTGGGTGGAGGCATTGAAGTGGGGGGGCAGGGCCCTGAGGGCTTGCTTGAAATCTGGACTCAGTGGAGGGCTATATACCAGGTGGAAGCTGTGATGGGGGTGGGGTGAGGTGGGGGAGACAGAGAGAGAGAGAGAGCATGTCAGTGGTGTTGTCTGCACTCAGGAAACCCCTCAAGATTGCCCAAGAGCACAGGTAAGTAGACAGCTGGGAGTGGAAGGCCCCCCAGGTGTGCTGGCCCCAAAGACCAAGCTCTGCCCCACTGGCTGCTGCTCTCTGGTGACCCAGACTCTGAATATCGTTGTTCTTGGCTCTTTTCCTTCCAACATAAACTTTTCCTTCCTGGTGGCGGAGTGGTCCCCCATTGGGCTGCTAGCCATCAGGTGAGCAGTTTGAACCCACCAGCTGCGCCATGGGAGAAAGAATGGGCTTTCTCCTCCCGTGAGAACTGCGGTCCCCGAAACCCACGTGGGCAGTTCTGCCTGGTCCTGCAGGGTCACTGTGAGCCGGCACCCACTTGACGGCAGGGAGTTTCTGAGTTGCTTTTTTCTTAGTTTCAAGTAATTGTCCTTCAGCGAAGCAGGGGTCGAAGTCACCAAAAGGCGAGGACAGCCCACACGTCCCTCACCCTGGCAAACCCTCTGCCGAGGGAGCTAGGGTGGTCACCAAAGGAAGGATGTTGTCTGATCCCACCTCCTTCTCCAGCGAAAGCCAAGGTACCAAGACAGAAAGTAGATTAAACCTTACCGGGGCTGCGAGAGCCCCAAGGTCACATAGCAAGAGAGGGGGAGTTGGGCCTGCTCCCTGCCCCTCATGGAGGAGGGACCCCATGGAAGGAAGGAAGGAAGGAAGGAAGGAAGGAAGGAAGGAAGGAAGGAAGGAAGGAAGTGTGAGCAGGTGCTGGGCCGCCAGAGAACCACTCAGGACTCTGGGCAGTCTTGCTCTCCTGCCCCCCACCCTGCCCCGCCCCTGGCCTCCTGGCACTGGTACTTCCAGATGCCAGCCCTACGGGGCATGGGTAGCACCTGCTATGCGGACACCAGCCTTTATTTCCCCCTGGTGGCAGCAGTCCCAGATCCCCCTTGCCTCGGCTGCTCACCGGTAGAGGCGGCACTCCACCAGCTCCCTGGTGAAGCTGTACCGGTCTCCGTGCATCTTTTCGCCGGCAAAGTTGGCTGCTTTGGAGTGCGAGCCGGCCATCGACACGTGTGCGGTGCTGCTCGGGTGGAGGTTCAGGTCCAGCCCCGCCTTCCAGTCGTTGGTAATGCTCTTGGACACCTCCCTGGCCACCTCCTCTGTGGAGATGGCATTGATCTTGCTCACCTGGCGCTGGCAGCCGGAGCCCTGGGGGCACCAGGCGGTGAATGCTAGGGGCAGGAGCCAGAGTGTGTCTGGCTTCAGGGGGCTGCGGCAGAGGGTGCAGGTGCCGTCCGGCCGTAGGAAGCGCTCCTTGTCCACGGGATAGTAGCCTAAGCGCCGGAGGGTGGTCACGTCCACGGCTTCCCCAGCCAGCTGCACGCCAGGTACGAAGCCCTGGGCTCTGCGGCACTCGGCCTTCGTGGCCGTGTGGCAGGGAGCCGGGGCGGGGGCGGGCAGCAGCAGCAGGAGGAGGCAGTGGAGGAGCACTGGGGCAGCCATTGGGCTTTGGGGTCCCGGGGCCCTGTGGGCAGAAAGGGATGGAGACTGGTTGACAGCCCTTCCCCCCAACTGTACCCCAACATCAGGGCACATGGAACAGAAGGCAGGACAGATCTCACAAGTCATTGCATGTCAGAGCTGGCCTGGTCTTCACAGACCAGGCGTGTGCAGACAGGGACAGTGACCTGCCTAAGGTCACACAGCCAGGGATAGCCCCTTGCTAGGATTTCACTCTACAAGGTTTAATTGGGAGTCAGACTAATGGCTTTGTCCTCAGGGCCACAGCTGCTGCCGGTGAGGAGGAAGGGGCAGAGCACCTGCAGCAGGTTTGAGGAGGGGCCTAGGCACTAGTGCCCTGGGCAGAGAAGAGACCCTTGGTTTTCTACCCCCCATTGCCTTGGGTTCTTCCCTCCCTCCCTCTGTCGCTCTCACTAGGCACAGGCCCTCAGAGCCTGTCTGAGTCTCTGGTTGAGGACCTTCGGCAGAGCCTGCTCTGACGGTGCCTCCCCACCTGGCAGTGCCTATGAAGCAACAACCGGCTAGCCAGGCATCCTCAAACCACGGCCCGCGGGCCACATGCGGCCCGTCGAGGACATTTATCCGGCCCGCCGGGTGCTTTTGCCCCATTTGTTTTTTTACTTCAAAATAAGATAGGTGCAGTGTGCATAAGAATTTGTTCATAGTTTTTTTTTTAAACTATAGTCCGGCCCTCCAACAGGTCTGAGGGACAGTGAACTGGCCCCCTGTTTAAAAAGTTTGAGGACCCCTGTTTTGAGATGGCTCTGGGGCCTGCCTGGGGTCGCTGATGGCCTGGGGTCTCCCTTCTCCCACGGTTTAAACTGACCTCCCGCGAGCGCCTCCTTTGTGTTCATGGCCCACCCAACATCTTCTCTGGGATTTCAGGGAGCAGGGACTCCCCACCTTCTACCTGGAACCTTCTGCTTCCTCACCCACAAGAGTGCCTTGAAGGGGGCAGGGCAGGCGTGGGGAGTCCCACACAGGGGAGGAGGTTGGCCAAGGGGGTTCTGAAAGACTCTCTGATCACCTCACGTAGGAGAAGGTCAGGGGTATCCCCTCAGCCCAGGCACTGGGACTCCACTCTGAGCTGGAGCTGGGGAGAAGCTTTCTGAGAAGGGGTGCCTGTCACATCGTAAAGGGTCTTAGGGTTGATGTACTCTAACCAGTCCCATGAATCAACTGAGGCGCAGATCACCCACAAGGAACCCAGGCCTCTGGCCATTAGGTCGCGGCACTTCCTGCTCCCTCAGCTCTTCCCCACCGGCAAGCTGGTGCCCCTCCATCCTCCCCGGGGTGCCTCACCTCCCGGCACCCCTCTGCTTCCTCCCTACCTGGAGCCCGATGCCTGCTGAGCAGCGCCTGCACAAGGGTCCTCTCCCCACTCTGGAGGCTCTTTGAGTGCTGATGTCAGCCCCCTCATGCACCAGGTCACCGGCACATCACGGCTGCTTCCTGCCCCGCCCCCTGAGTGTGGTGACAAGTCCCCTCTGAGCTCCACCCCTCCTCTAGCACCCACCTCTTCATCCGGCCCTGTCCCTGTTGACAGCCCTCAGGAAGTCAGCAAAAACAAGGTGACCTGAGGGTGGGGAGTCGGAGAACAGGGCAGGCCAGTGTTGATGAGCCCGCCAACAGGGGCTCAGCTGACTTGCTGCCGCCCTGGTGTGGGTCAGCTCTGTGGTTACTTAGCTGGGTGGCCTGGGAGAGGTTCTTCAGCTTTTCTGTGTGCCTCCGTTTCTTCACCTGAACACGAGGGCAATAGGAGTGTGCGCGCGTGTGTCTTAGATGAGTTAACATCCCAAACACAGACAGGTGGGTGTGGAGGATGGTGGCACGGCAGGACGGTGCCATGGAAATGTACACCTGAAAAACGTTGGACTTGCAAGCCAGTTGTGGGGGGTCGACCCTGACTCGTGGGTCAGGGCAGAGGGGTGGGTCTCGGGCTTTTCGATGGCTGATTTCACCCAGTGGATTGCTGACATTTCTTCCCAGGCACTCTGGGCGGGTCCCGTCTGCCCCACTCAGGGCCTCTAGGGAACTGAGACATAGGTGCCGGTTAAGTCTTACAAGAAGCCCAGCCTCTGAACCTCCCGCAGCCTCTTCCCCAACTCTGGCCATAGCCATAGGATTGTAGCCGGAGGGGGGAGGGAGGGTGGAAAGCTAGGGACCCTGATGGTGAGGAAGAAGTGGGTGGGGTTAGAGGCTCAGGGGCTTCGCTCTGGGCCTTGCCTGAGGTCAGGGTGGGGCGAAGTTTCCAATGGGTGGAGTGACTCACAGAGGTGATTTCTTAGGGGGGCAAACTCAGGCCAGTTTTGAGGTTCAGAGGTGGGGATAACTGGATCAGTGGGGGCCAGTGTCTCAGACACACACCCCTCCCACCGCTCTGTGACGGGAACAAATAACCACAGGACCCAGACCACGTGTGACACCGGAGGGTGGCTCATCCCTTACGTTTATATCCCCCAGCCCTTACGGGAACAGGGGCTTCGCTGCCTGCTGGGAACCTGGTCCCCGCTCCCCACTTCCTCTCTCAGAAACTGCAAATTCCCGAACCCCTTCCTGCTCCCTCCTGTGGCCCAGACTCGGCGGAGTTTAGCCCCCCCTGGGTGCTGGGACGACCAACTTGAGAGGCTTAGAACCATGCAGAAAGAAGTCAAGTGGAGGGAACAGGCTCCGGTTCTAACTTCACCGGAAACCTCGGTCACTTGTGTGACTCTTGGCAGTCAATTTCTAACTCTTTTCTGGGCCTTCGTCTTCTCATTCGAAAAAGCAAAGGTCATATGCCTGCCTTTCTAAGGAGCCTTTCAACTAATGATGAGATGTGTATTTCAGCAGGTTTTGATCAGCTTACGAAGTGCCTAATGCCCAGAGGTGCTGTGCGTCAAGTCCACTTCTGAGCTGTGGCGATGCCTACATGGACAATGGCTCCTTTTTGGCCCCTGTGCCTGAGGACTCCTGCCTTTCTTCTTAGTTAAAGCTGAGTACTTGACATGAGCTTTAAGCATCGTTTTCCCACCAAAACGAAGTTCAACAAGAGCTCAAGATACTCAATTGCCACACACCATCAATCTGGTTTTTTCCCTCTCATCCATATGGTTTTAAAAACAGCTTCATTGAGATGTAATTCATATGCCATACAATTCATCCATTCAAAGTCTACATTTTAAATGTATATTTACATAAGATACACTTAGTGGTCTCTATTCCTCTGGCACAAAAGAGAACGATAGAAAGGCTCAGAAGAAAGTAGTCTATGGGACCAATAGTCTACATAGGCCATGGCCTTCTCTACCCTGAGACCAGAAGAACTAGATGGTGCCCAGCTACCACTACCAACCCTTCTGATCAGGGCACAATAGATGGAGCCTGACTGAGTAGGAGAACATGTGGAATAGAGCTCAATGCTTGGGAAGTCCAGACTTATTAACTAGTGAAGGCAAGAGGATGCCCCAAAACTATTGTTCTAAAAGACTCACAAAATAAAGAATTCCCCACTGAGTAAAACCCTCCTTTGAAAAATCTATTTGAGAACAGCAAAGCTAGAGTGCTGGCAATAATACAACCGGAATGGGATGGGTGAGAAGGATGACGTGTTGTGGAAAATGTAGCTAATATCATGAATAATTTGTATAGAGGTTGTTCAATGAGACCCTAGCTTGCAGTGTAGCTTTTCACCTTTAAAATATTATTAAAAATGAGTACGTTCAGAGTTGTGTAATCATTACATGTTAGAACATTGTCATTAACTTTAAAGTTTCTATCACCACCACCCCCAAAAGAAACCCAGTACCTTTTAGCAGTTGGCTCCCCGTTTCTCCTCAAGCTCTTCTCCAGCCCTCCAAACAATAACAACAACAAAAACAACAAAAGGCACCCACTGCCCTTGAGTCTGTTCTAACTCCGAGTGACCCTGTTCTATGGGTTCCCAAAGCAGACAGCCTGTTCTTTGAGCCATCAGTGGTTTGAACCGCTGACCTTGCGGATAGCAGCCCAAGGCCTAGCCCACAGCAGCACAGGTTTCCAATGCCAGGCAACCACTACAACCCACCTCTGTCGGTATGGACTTGTCTATTTGGAACACTGTCTATAATTGGGATCATAGATTACGTGGTCTTTTGTGACTGGCTTCTTTCACTTGGCATGGTATTGTCAAGGTTTGTCTGTCCTACATCAGTAGTTCATTTCTGCTTTATTATGGAATAATTTTCCATCATATAACTGAACTACAATTTGTGTATCCATTTACTCTCGAGAGACATCTGGGGTGTTTCCACTTTTGAGTTATCATGAATAAGACTCCTTTGAACACGTTGCATGGACATACAATTTCAGTTGTCCGGCATGTATCCTTGGGACCGGAACTGCTGGGTCATATGGGACTCTATGCGTTTGTGCTGATCTACTTTCTGAAATAGCTGCTCCATTGTAGTTCCCTACTTATATCCCATGGTTCTAGTTCCCCATCTCTTTGCCTGTATGCTTTACTGCTGTGTTCAGAGTAATTTGAGCCCTTGTGAAGTGATACTTCATTGTGGCTTTGATGTGCGTTTACCTAGTGTTTAATGCAGGAGCCACGATGGCGCAGTGTGTTCTACACTGCGCTGCAAACTGAAGGTAAGCCATTAGAAGGCACCAACCGCTCTGTGAGTGAAAGAGGAGGGCTGTCTGCTCCCAGAAAGATCGATAGCCATGAAAACCCGCAGGGGCATTTAGTCTGTCTTGTCAGCTCACTATCAGCCAACTGATTTGATGGCAGTCAGTTTGGGGTTTTTTTTTTTTGAGTGTCTGATGATGTTGAGCATCTTTTTACAATTTTAGAACATTTTCTTCTTTCTTGGGTTCATTGTTGTTAACTCCCCATTGCCCCCGATCTCCCCTGCCATTATTAGGAAATTATCAATCCAGTTAGTGTCTTTATAGACTTATCTAGCCTAGATTTACATACAGAGAAACAAAAACAAGACAACAATGACAAAATAAAACAG